CACTGAGCAGGGAGCCCAACTCCGGACTTGACCTCAGAACCCTGGGATCACAGCATGAGCTGAAGGCAGATGCTTAAGTGACTGAGCCACTCGGGCGCCTCCTAATATGTTGTTATAAATCACCAGATTTATGGCAATTTCTTACATTAGCTAAATGAATATAATATCCAAATCCTATAATCTTAAGAACATACAAGTGTCATTTCTCTGTCAGACTGTATGTTCCTCTAGACCAGTAGTCAACTTCTGTGCTTGACACACAGTGTACATGCTACATGTTTATTGAATTTCAACCATTCTGTATATCAGATGGTCTCTCCACCATTTTGGGGGGAGATTTGCTTACCATTTTTAAAGTCTCCACTCACCTGGCACATGCTACGTAGAGGAGCGTTGCAATGAATACCTGCAGTTCTGAACCTCTTCCTTAGTGACTTCGGATCGGAGAAGGGGTACTCGTTTACACCAGAGTTGGCTTTCTCCGGCCCAACTGTTGTGATACACAAGACTGATGTCTTCTAATCAACAGTTTCATGGGCTTCTTGTGCCTCAGTTTCAACTGCTCTTGAGTAAGACCGCCTGTCTGAGAAACCTCATCCTCCTGAGGTTTGTAGAAGCTTGTATTTTATTTGTACCATCCCAAACATAGTCTCAAAATTTGGTGAAAATCAAAAAAAAAAAAAAAAAGTTCTCACAATGCATTTCTATCTGAAATAGACCTACAGATAAACTACTTATTTTTATAGATTTGCATTCATTTCCCTCCCAGTCTTTAGATAAAAACCAACAAAATTGAAGACTTAGAATGGGGGCAGTTTTAGATGTGTTATGCACCGTTCCTTGGGAGGTAATGTGTTGGTTATCTATTGCTGCTGTAATTTAGTAGCTTAAAGTGATAAACATTTATTATATCATTTTTGTTGGTTAGAAATCCAAGAGCAGCTTACCTGGGTGGTTCTGACTCAGGGCTTCTTAAGACGCCGCATCAAGTTGTGAGTCAAGGCTTGACTGATGGAAGATTTACTTCCCAGTTGTTTGACATGGTTGTTGACTGTGGTCTCCTACGTCTGCTTCCAAGCTCATTTATGAGGGCCTCCCAGGCCACCTCACAGCATGGCAGCTGCCTGCCCCAGAGCGAGTCATCTTGCTGAGGCAATACCCAACCAGAAGCCACGTTCTATTAGAGACGAGTCAGTTAATCCAGCCCATCCTTAAGGGAAAGCGATCATTGGGGCCATCTTAGAAGCTGCCTACCCCACGTATGAATTAGTGAGGTCGTTCGTTTACCGGAGACTAGATAATCAAGTTTAAAATATTCCTAACTAAAATTAAATTCAATAATATCAAAAACATTTTGTGAGAAAACAGCAACTAAATCTCTCATATTAGAAAATATAAAATAAAAAATGGAAGCCTTTTAACTTTCACACAGGAAATTCAGAAGGCACATTAAAATAATCAACACAATTTACTTTTTTTAACCATACTTCCCTCAGATTGTCTACTTCAACTCCCTGTTCTAATTCTGTCCATTTTTTTTAAAGATTTTATTTATTTATTCATAGAGACAGACAGAGAGAGAGAGAGAGAGGCAGAGATACAGGCAGAGGGAGAAGCAGGCTCCATGCAGGGAGCCCGACGTGGGACTCGATCCCAGGACCCCGGGGTCACGACCTGGGCTGAAGGTGGCGCTAAACCACTGAGCCACCTGGATGCCCTCTTTCCTTCATTTTAAAAATTGTACTTGCCCTTAATCTAAAAATAATTGAAAGCAGCTTATAGAAATACTTAAAGTGTTATGCGAATTGAAATTAAAGATGAAGGGAAAGGTGGAGATAGAAAACGAAGTCAGAAATAAAACTACTACAGAAAGGTCATAGTCTGGTGAAAACTGAAGACCTAACAAAGACCCATAGCTATGTGGCTGAGTAAATTAATGTTAAGAAAATGAAAAGGCAAGATCAAGACTAGGGAAAAATACAAGACAAATATCTAATAAGAGTCTTATGTCTACAAAATAGAAAGAACTCTTACTAGTCCATAATAAGACAACCCAGTTTTTTAAAATAGGGAAAAAATTTGAACACATGTTTTATCAAAGATCTTTGAATGACATGCAAAATATAGGACACTGGGGCAGCCCCGGTGGCCCAGCAGTTTGGCACCGCCTTCAGCCCAGGGTGTGATCCTGGAGACCCGGGATCGGGTCCCGCGTCGGGCTCCCTGCGTGGAGCCTGCTTCTCCCTTGGTCTGCGTCTCTGCCTCTCTCTCTGCGTCTCTCAGGAATAAATAAATAAATAAAATCTTTAAAATATATATATATATTTTATATATGATCTATATTATATATATATAATCTTATATATATATACATATATAGGATACTATTATGCCACCACACAAATGGCTAAAATTAAAAAGACTAACAATACCAGTTATCAGTAAGAATGTAGCACTAGAACTCTCAGGTCAGCATTTTTTATAAAATTAAACAATCACACGATCCCACTCCTTGTTATTTCACCCAAGAGAAATGAAACTGTCTATACACAGAGAACAGTAGATGAATGTTCACAGCAGTTTTATTCGTAATAGAAAGAAACTAGAAGCAGTTTTATGATTACACTGTGATGTAACCACGTACATACAGCGTGCCTCGCGGTAAGGTGGAACGAACTGATGATCACGGACCGACGTGGATGACTCACAAAGCATTACGCTAGGTGGGAAGAGAGCATTGTGTGTGATTCCGTTATGTGACACTCTGAAAAGGTGGAACTATAGCGACGGCCTTTTTTTTTTTTTTTTTTTTTTACTGCCCTCGTGGTAGTACCTAGGGTTAGAGGGAGGTAATTATCTGCAAAGAAGCAAGAGGGAACATTGGGGGTGATGGAAATGTTCTACGACAAAAAATGGAAATCTTTGTGGTCATGGTTGTGATGTGTACGTTTTTCAAAATTCATCTAACTGTAGGATTAAAATGGATAAATCTCATATTTAAATTATACGTAAATAAAGCTGAATTAAAACAAAAACCTCTTTATATACACAAGCACAGATCCAGTTAAGTGGTTTGTTAATCATTTACACTTGAAGGTTTTCGTTTCATTTTTTTTAAGCTCCAGGGTGATAATATGGCTAAATCTGAGCTCGCTCGAGATGCATTTATGATACACATACTGCATAATTCAAAGGAAAAGCTTTTTCTGCCTGGGATTACTGGAGGAAGACGGAACTTTTGAACTCCCTCATGATGGCATTAGAAGATTAGAGTTTAGAATTAGAAGTGGGGAGGAGGATGGAAGGAGGATGGAACTAAGGTGAGGAAGTCTTAGGGGGCGCCACTGCCCTTGTACGGGCGCTCTCTGGTGATGTGCCCGAGTGAGTTCTCGGGTGAGCAGTAGGGGGGTGACCGGCGGGTCAGGGCCATGCCAACTGAAGCGAAGCTGGGAAACCACTGTAGTAAGGCGATAAAAATTTTACATTCTTGAATGGGACTTGGGGTGAATGGGATAACATCGATTAAGAACACTATTATTTATACACATGGAAAAAGGCCTAAAAATGATTTTTCTATATGAATGTTATTTAAAAATGAGAGGTATTTCGTTTTAATGCTAGAATAATAGGGAGTTCATGAGTTAGGAAGAGAAGGTACAGAAGTGAACATGCGGCATAGTCCGGGGGCCGCCGGACACCTCAGAGTCCCTGCTTTGGCCTCAGCAACAGCATGTGCAATATGAGCCTCATTTTACAGCCGTGGAAACTTGGGTTCAGAAAGAAAGGCTCGGGTTCTAATTAATGCAGAAACCACATGCTATTCCTCAAAGGTTGGTGAAGGAACCCCTTGGGGTAAGATCACCAGGGATGCGTTTCCACGAAGCTCACCCGGAACTGGCAGATTGGATTGAGGTGGTGTTGGGGAACAGAGTCTGCATTTCTAACCTGTTCGTTGGTTGCTTTGGTAATTAAAAAATAAATTAAAAAAAAACCTTGAGAATAGCTATCTTAAGACTTAGGAAATATTTTTGCTATTTGAGATAGTAAAAATCATTTATTATGTTTTCTGATATTAAGAGTTCTTAGAGACAAAAGTTGGCCTCGTAAAGGTGATCTGTAGCTTTATTTTTGACAATGTATGGTGCTCCTATTTCATAAATAAGAGTTAAAAAATAAAGCCGGCATTCTTTATTGGTTAAAGAAATAAATAATAAATTCTAATTCTGAACTAGAATTTATATTATTGGCTGCCTAAAATGACTTCCACCTGGTGGCAGTATTTTTCAGTCCTTTTTGTGCCATTTCCCTTGGTGCTGGCTTAAGCTACCTGAGATGGGTTACTTTGCATTTGTCACATTTATACAGCACGAGAAAAATAAAGGTGTATATTTTTATTATATATAGATTAATGATAGTAGGTAGCAAATGGAACAGTTTTTGCGGGCAGCCCGGGGGGGCTCAGCGGTTTAGTGCCACCTTCACCTCAGGGTGTGATCCTGGGGTCCCGGGATCGAGTCCCACGTCGGGCTCCCTGCATGAAGCCTGCTTCTCCCTCTGCCTGGGTCTCTGCCTCTCTCTCTCTGTGTCTCTCATAAATGAATAAATAAATAAATTTTTTTTAAAAAAGGAATAATTTTGCTCTTTGTGAGATGATTCGATGCACCTACACTCTTCTTCTGTCTAACAAGCATGACGGATGGCCCCAAATAATTCTTTGTAGTATTTAGCTGCCTGTTTATTATTTAAATTCCAACACTTGGGGATCCCTGGGTGGCGCAGCGGTTTGGCGCCTGCCTTTGGCCCGGGGCGCGATCCTGGAGACCCGGGATCGAATCCCACGTCGGGCTCCCGGTGCATGGAGCCTGCTTCTCTCTCTGCCTGTGTCTCTGCCTCTCTCTCTCTCTCTCTCTGTGACTATCATAAATAAATAAAAAAAAAAATTTAAAAAAAAAAATAAATTCCAACACTTACTCTTGGATGGTTATATGTATTTTCAACAGTGACTCCTTTATTGCACACCGAGAAAGTATGCGTCAGATGATGAGAAGTTTTTCTGAACCGTTTGGAAGAGACTTGCTCAGCATCTCTGATGGTAGAAGACGAGCTCATAATCGTATGAGACACGATGATGGCGAGAGCTCCTTGGCTGTAAGTTCTTTATTTTAAGTTAGTGAGAAGGTCCTATGGAATTATGGAATTTAAAGAAAATTATTACGGAAGAATATATCTATGATGTTAGGATATGAATAACGCTTGTGTCCTAGAAATAACTTATATAAAACGGATGGACCTGCTGGGAAGTTGAATCCTTCAACAATGAATTGTTAGCTGTGTGGGATTCCGCTGCACTACCAAAACTTTAGGACCACAGGGTCATAGATTATAAGCCAAACCTAAAGTGTTATTTTTCATATAGTTTGTTCTGCCTGGCTACCTTGAGCCTTCAAAACTTAGATTAATTTTTAACTCTATTTAGAAGTTTTGCGTAACCACAGTATATTTTCACAGCTTTCATCTGAGAGCAAACCTAGAAGGTTACAAACATATTTAACTAAAGAAAAAAAAATCAAAAATCCAGGATGCTTTATGTATTAAAGGATGCTTATGTATTTAATAAAGAGATTAAAAATCTCTTAATTACCTGTGTTTATTTTATTTATATTGCTTTTTCAGCCTCAGGAATTATAATTCTAGAATAAAAATCCACAGGGGTTTCTAGTTTTGTTTTCTATTAAATAGTTAATTTTTGCTATTACATAAGTCTTTCATACTTAATATGTCATATGTATCACAACCTAGTGAAGAAAAGGTGAGCCATGTCTCACCAGTATAAATTATAAATATACAGGAAAAAAATGAGCTTTGGCTAAAAGAGAGGCTGAATATTTCAAATACTCCTAAGAAGTTTGATGTATAAAATTACATTTACCATTTAAATGAAATTTTCATATTCTTTTTCATGTTATTCCAATATATATTACTCATATTTAGTTTTTTTCTTTCAATTAGTGAATGGTGGTATTCATATATATATGTGTGTGTATATACACACACATATATATATATATATATTTAATTCTAGGGCTATCAATTTCCGTAAAAGTCTAAAATTAAGATCAAAGAAAAAATTATCAAGGAGGGCAAAAAAATCAGTTAAAGACATTCTGAAATGTTATCTTCCACGTGAGCATTGAAATAATTTGTATATCTGCTATAAATATAGAAAGGCAGAAGTAGGGCTCTACATAGTCCTTGGTATTTATGTGTGTAAATGAGCTACTTGTAGATTATAGACTTTTTTGAGCAGTCTCTTGGCTGTGCTCTTTTCAAATAACAGCAGTGTTTTTCATCTTCTGCAATTTCTAATTTCTGTTCCTACCTTCACATCTAGTTATAAAACACTGACTTAGAAAAGTTCAAGTTGTTTGGTTATTTTGTTTAAATTTATTTTCACTATTACATTTAGTCTTTCACACTAAGACACACATGTCAAATGTATCACACCCTATGGAATAAAAGGAGAGCCATTTCTCACCAGTATAAATTATAAAATTTCTGGCTAAAAGAGTGGCTGAATGTTCCTTGGAAAATCTGCTGTAACTCTGCTATAAATCTTCTATATTTTAAAAATTATTTAAAAAAAATTTTTTTTAAGATTTTATTTATCCATGAGAGACAGAGAGAGAGAGGCAGAGACACAGGCAGAGGGAGAAGCAGGCTTCATGCAGGGAGCCGGATGTGGGACTCGATCTCTGGACCCCGGGGTCACGTCCTGAGCTGAAGGCAGACGCCAACCGCTGAGCCACCCAGGTGCCCCTATTTTAAAAATCATTAGTGCCCTAGGACAGTACTCAGTACTCTTGTCTGACAGAGGGTTTTCATACGGTTTGAACAAGAAAAAAGTGCAATGGTGATAGCATTCTAAGATTTTTTTTTTGCTTTTTAAAATTTTGATTTTATTTAAATATAATTAATTAACATATAGCATATTATTAGTTTCAGAGGTAGGGTTTGGCGATTCGTCAGTTGTATATAACTGTATAATCTATAAGTAGCTCATTTATTTTTTTTTTTTTAATTTTTTTTTTTTTTTTTTTTTTTATTTATGATAGTCACACACAGAGAGAGAGCGAGAGAGGCAGAGACACAGGCAGAGGGAGAAGCAGGCTCCATGCACCGGGAGCCCGACGTGGGATTCGATCCCAGGTCTCCAGGATCGCGCCCTGGGCCAAAGGCAGGCGCCAAACCACTGCGCCACCCAGGGATCCCTAAGTAGCTCATTTATAGACCATATAGACTTTTTTGAGCGTGCTAGCAGTCCTACTCTATTTAAACTTTAAGGTTTTGTGTTTTGTTTTGTTTTTAAGATTTTATTTATTTCAGAGCAAGAGAGAGCATGAGTCGGGGAGAGGCAGAGGGAAAGAGAGAGAAAATCCTAAGCAGACTTGGTGTGGATCCCAGTGCTGAGCTTGGGACTGGATCCCAGGACCCTAAGATTATGACCTGAGTGGAAATAAAGAGGCCAAAATGAAAAGTCGGATCCTTAACCAACAGAGCCGCCTAGGTGCCCTAAACAAGAAGTTTTTAAATGAGTGTTTTGATTAAGCAGTGAGCCATTATGATGTAGCTTTTAAGCATAGTGGATGAAAATCTGTATCTCAGATAGACTTCTTGATAACTTGTAAATTTATTTTTGGTCCATTTCTTGACATTTGTCTTTTTTTTTTTTTAATGGGGATGGGACAGAGGGGGAGAGGGTCTTAAGCAGGCCCCATGCCCAGCGTGCAGCCTGATACTATGCTCAGTCTCACAACCCTGAGATCATGACCTGAGCAGAAATCAAGATTTGGATGCTTAACCACCTGAGCCACCCAGGCCCTCCGACATTTGTCATCTTTATCAGCCACTTTATGAAGGAGAACAGAGACTCCTACAAAAGTAGGGGAAGCATCAGCCATCCAATGTTCTTGTTTACGGTATTGGCATTTGCTTCAGTTCATGATTTCTTTATGGGGATATTTTTAAGCCAGGTGTCCATTTGGGGAGGATTAGTTTTGTTTAAAACCAGATAGTTTAGTTTTTTTAATTTTTAGATTTTACTTATTCGTTTAGAGATAGAGCACGAGCAGCGGGGAGGAACAGAGGGAGGGGCAGAGGGAGAGGGACAAGCAGGCTCCACACTGAGTGGGAGTCTGACCTGGGGCTTGATCCCATGACCCTAGGGTCATGACCCCAGCTGAAATCGGGAGTCGGCTGTTCAACCCACTCAGCCACCCAGGCGTCCCAAAAACTAGATAATTTAATCTGTAAATATATTTAATTAAGCAGTTTATAATTCAAGGTATGACATGTGACCATCTGATATTTGGGTAGAATGATAGCACCAGAGTCAATATAAAATGTTTTTCTTTTCAGTGAAAATAAATAGAGAAATAGTATTGGTGTATTAAAACATGTTGGTGATTACTGTTCTACATCTATAGTATAAATGTATATCATCTGATATAATTTATTGTAAAATTTAATAAAAATACACAGTTTTCAACATACACAAGGAGAAAATTACCTATCACTGATGACTAAAACTTTATATATACCGTTTCCCCCAAATTTCAAATTTTATTTTTAATATTTGAAACTTCCAAGTAATAAAAGCTTTTGTTTTATATATATGTCTGCCTAAGATTTTATTTTTACTGAGGAATACAATTTGTGAACTATTAGATAATTCCATCTGATATACTTAACGTTCTTTTGCCTATCAGAGACCCTACATATTTTTAAATCTGTGTGTGATCCTTTCTGAAGTCTTATATTTCTTATTCCATGTATTAGTTCTTGGGAGATATTCATTAATTTTTTCCCAATATCTATACTTTTGAAATGTTATTCATGGAGATGATTGCTTACTTTTAGTTGTTTATAAGCAGGATTAATTTATCATTTAAAATTATGGAATAGTTGAGCAAAGGAAAGATGAGCTCTTAATCATTATACTGTGTGTTCTAATTAACTTTGGTGTGAATTTGTATTTCCTTTCCAAAATATTGTCTTAATCTATAGCAAAGACTTCTTCTTACAACTGTCTTTGGCAAATACTACAGTTGTCATATTTGAAAGTGGTACGTAGTCTCCCTATTTGCCTACCAGGCTCCTGCCAGGCTTTATGATGAGCAATAAGTGGGTAGTTTTTAAAGTAAATGTTGAGGGTTTTTTTATTAAATGGTTCTAAGATTTTGTCAGCTCTAAACAATGTGATTATGTAGTACATTTCTTTCTTTTTCAGGGATTATTGTATAATAAATAGCATAGGGTGCCTGGGTGGCTCAGTGGTTCAGCATCTGCCTTTGGCCTCAGGTTGTGACCCCTCGGGGTCCCGGGATCTAGTCCCACATCCGGCTCCCTGCATGGAGCCTGCTTCTCCCTCTGCCTGGGTCTCTGCCTCTCTCTGTGTGTGTCTCTCATGAATCAATAAAGACATCTTTAAAAAAATAATAAATAGCATAACCAAAATTAATTGGATTTTTTTTGTAGGCAATGAATTCTCTTGTACCTTTTGGCAGTTTTGGTGGTATGGTTCGTATCATGAGACACAAACCATTTTAGCAATGTTTTCTGACAAATATTTATTTTTCACTAACTCAAGCAAAGCAAATTGGCATGCAGTTTCACTTATTTTCAAAATGGCTTTTTAGAATTTGTGCTGAAACCTGTTTCGTGTATTGATGTTGGAGTGTCTGTGTTTTTTCTGAATTAAGTCATACCAACATATGTAAAATCAGTCTTCAAAAAAGACAAGAAATACATTCTAATGGACGAATATTCACTGTAGCTAGAGGAGCTCAGGTTGTCTGCTCTCTGCTAGGACTCCACGGGGAGTCGGCTCGTGGCGCCCACCTGCGGCCACTCTGTCCCCGACTTTTCTGGCTCCTCTTCCTTTGTTTCTGTGATGCTAGTTCCTGACACACTTAAAAGCAATCCGAGGAGAAGCTCAGAGCAGCATGACTTGGAACATTTCCTGCGGACGCACCTCCGCTCCTATGAAGAAGTTTCTTCGTGTTGTGTTAGACTTCGGTCATTTGTCTGCCGGCAGCCTGACGCAGCACGTTTGTCCTTCCTGATCACGTTCCCAGTGAGACAAATGACAGATTAAACAAGCAGTTGTAGCAGGGTTTCCAGTAAAATGGTCCGAAGTCGAGCCTGCTACGGGAGCGCTGATAGAAAAACGCGTGTTACCCAGACCTCTTGGGGTGGTGGCATGGAGGTTAATGGGAGAAGACTTCTGGAACCTTATGGATTAAGAGGAGTTAGGCAGGAAAAGCAGGGAGGGGAGAAGAATGTTCAGCACAGAGGGAACAGCATATGCCGAGACCTGGCTGCTAGGGAGCTCAGAGCCGCTTAGGATCACTTCGCCCTGGAGCGTGAGCTGCGGAGTAAAGGCAGGAGGGTAACCAGGGACTATTATGGTCCTGGCAAGGTCTGTGGGCATCATCTTAGGAACGGGGGAAGCACTGATGACTTTCCACCAAAGTGGTGGTGGAATCCGGTTCTCGTTTTTGAAGGATTATTGCGCCTGCGGGGGAAGGAGAGGTTAGAAGGGGCTGCGGTGGAGGCAGGGTGGAGGCAGGGTGGAGGCAGGGAGGCCCGGAGGCCGCTGAAGGGTTCTGGGGACTGTTCTCATGGGTCCCGCTTGGGCAGGGGCTGTGATGTCTTATTTGAAAGTTCAAGAGGTAAATGGGCAAAGCTTGGGGGCTTCCTGGGTTGAAGGGAGAGTAAAGAGGGAAAAGGAAAGTGTACGCCCGTTTCTTTGGCAGGAGGCATCGGGTGGGATGTCCCTGAGCCCAGGAGCGGGGCGCCGCGGGCCTGGGGCTGCGCAAGGGCCTCTCCGTTGGGCTGTTGGGGTCGGAGGCGCCCCTGCCCCGCGGGGTGCAAGCGCCAGGTGAAGCTGGGCGCGGGGCTGGGCTGCGGGGGACAGGGTGTGTCAGGATGTGTCGGTTGAGCCGGTGGGTGCTGCTGGGCCTGGGGAGGTGCCTCCCGGGACCTTCCGGGGGGGCCGTGAGCCGGGGGCAGGAGGAGGTGGGGGGGGCCTTCGGTGAAGACCTGGGTCGGGCAGCCCGGGCCCAGCGCTTTGGTGCTGCCTCCGGCCCAGGGCGACCCCGGGGCCCTGCGTGGAGCCTGCCCCTCCCCCTGATGGGTCTCCGCCTCTCCCTCTGCCTCATGAATGAACGAATGAAATCTTTAAAAAAAAAACAAACAAAATAAAGACCCAGGATTTACCCCTGAGAGACCCAGGCGGGGAGGCGCGGGCCACACGCGGGCACCCAGGCCTCGGGGCTGAGCCCTGTGGGGCTTCCCGACCGGGAGCGGGTCTCGGCCCCGCGGCCCCACAGCTCCCGTCCCGTCCCGTCCCGTCCCGTCCCGCTCCCCCGCAGCCGGGGGCGCCGCGCCCAGGTGAGCGCGACCCCAAGGGCCCGGGAGCCCACAGGTCCCGGGGCGCCCTGGACGCTGCCCCAAAGGAGGCGGGTCGGGCCACGCGGGGCGGGGCCGCAGCCACCTCCGGGCCCTCCTGCGGCCTGAAGCTCGGGGCGGGGCGGGGCCGGGGCGGGGGTGGAGGGGACGCTAGGACACTCGCGGGCGCCGGGGCCGTGCCCGCCGGGACAGCCGCAGGACCGAAGCAGTGACCAGGTTGGGCAGTAGGAGGTCGCGTTGGTGAGTGCGCGTGTGCGGGCGCGGGTGCGGGTGCAGGCGCGTGTGCAGGTGCAGGCGCAGGTGCAGGCGCGGGGGCGGGTGCAGGTGCAGGCGCGGGTGCAGGCGCAGGCGCAGGCGCAGGTGCAGGCGCAGGCGCAGGCGCAGGTGCAGGTGCGGGCGCGGGTGCAGGTGCGGGTGCAGGCGCGGGTGCAGGTGCAGGCGCGGGTGCAGGCGCGGGTGCAGGTGCAGGCGCAGGTGCAGGTGCAGGCGCAGGTGCGGGCGCGGGCGCGGGTGCAGGTGCGGGTGCAGGCGCGGGTGCAGGCGCAGGTGCAGGCGCGGGTGCAGGTGCAGGCGCGGGTGCAGGCGCGGGTGCAGGTGCAGGCGCGGGTGCAGGTGCAGGCGCGGGTGCAGGCGCAGGCGCAGGTGCAGGCGCGGGTGCAGGTGCGTGTGCAGGTGCAGGCGCAGGCGCCGGTGCAGGTGCAGGCGCAGGTGCAGGCGCAGGTGCAGGTGCTCGGCGCCGCCGCGGCCTCCCCACTGGCACGCGGGCTGCGAGGTGCTGCTCGTGCTTCCGCCCTGCACGTGCTTCTAGCGAAGGGCTTTGTGCTGCGGCCCTTGAACCGCCCTCGCGGGCCTCGGCTGCATGAGACACCCCCCCCCCCCCGCCCCGCGTGAACCCAGAGAGGGATGTTCCCGGCCCCGGGGAAAGCTGATTCGCCTCTCGGTGTTGCGCGGTCACTAACCCGCCCCGTTCCCTGCAGCGCTCGGACGTCGGCCCCTTCCAGGCGCTGGACCGAATGACCGCGAACCTGCGACGCGGCGCGCTCGAGCTGCAGAGGACCCTCGTGAGTACCGAGACTCGGCGGGCCCTGTCGCCCCTGTGGGCAGCCCCATGCCCCATGTCGCAGCGGCCTTCAGCGGCTGAGAATCCCGGCCCGCGCGGTCGAAGCTTGGACCCCACAGGGCGGCCCAGCGCGCGACTCTTGTGCGGCCGGTAGACCTGCCACGCGAGCGCTGTGACGGAAGGGCCGCGCCACTCACAGCGGGTGCTTGTGTTCTCTGCTTCGGTCCATGTGCTGGGGATCCTGGCCACGGCCCGCCGAATTGATTTCACGACCTACAAGTCTGAAAGATCACAGCGATTGACTTTCAGAATCAAGAAAGAATACCTCGAACATTTGTACTGCGGAAGGTCACTATTATATAAATGAACGTTTTATATGAATTTAGACTTTTTGATTATTTATGACTTGTCTACTTAAAAGGATTTAAAGGGATCCCTGGGTGGCGCAGCGGTTTGGCGCCTGCCTTTGGCCCAGGGCGTGATCCCACGTCGGGCTCCCGGCATGGAGCCTGCTTCTCCCGCCTCCTGCGTCTCTGCACCTCTCTGTCTCTCTCTCTGTCTATCATAAATAAATAAATAAATCTTTTTTAGAAAATTTTTAAAAAAAGGATTTATAACAGCTAAGAAATTAACTGTTAGTGTTGTTATTGCTTGAAAAAAAAAAAAAAAACAACCTGAAAACAGAAATTTCAGGAATGATGTTTGGGCATGGGATTAGATCCGTACAGTCCAAGTGGTTATAAGCTAGTGCTGACACTCTTACTCTTCTACTCAGACTATTAACATCAAAAAAATAACTTGATTTAATATGAAGAAGACTCCTATTATTGCAGTCATCTAATATTTAAACCTAAGCCGCAGTCTTTTTTTTATTTTTAATTTATTTATGATAGAGAGAGAGAGAGAGAGAGGCAGAGACACAGGCAGAGGGAGAAGCAGGCTCCATGCACCGGGAGCCCGACGTGGGACTCGATCCCGGGTCTCCAGGATCGCGCCCTGGGCCAAAGGCAGGCGCCAAACCGCTGCGCCACCCAGGGATCCCCTAAGCCGCAGTCTTTGATCACGAAGACTTAAGGATCTCTGAGTGAGTCACTTCTTGTTGTTTTCCTCACAAGAAGGGTGAGGATTGGTACCTAAAATGGAAGGAAGTGAGGAGCTCCCTGGGTGCCACTGGCTATACCACACGACAGTATGGAGACCTTAGAAGAGCGTTAGTTACTATAGTTACTTGCTTGACTCCTCTGACGTCAGTTCTGCATATCTGACTAAACTCTCTGGACTTACGATTTATATTTGCCCCCAGGGTCACCTTACACTGGATCCAAACGGACATTCGTTTAGTGCCTCCTCAGTCATGACTTACTCCAAAGTAGGAGATGAACCACCGAAGGTTTTCCAGGCCTCAACTCAAACCCGTAGGGCTCCAGGCGGAGTGAGTAGTTTCTGAGCATTCTTGGAGCTTTATTGACTTGTTAAGTGATGGATCGCCCGTATCAGATTTTAATCATCAAAGCTTGATCTGGTACTCGGGGGTAGGGATGAGGGAGGAGGACACGTGTCACCGGAACAAGTGATATTGTGAAAAACAATGATGCTAATAACTGTATTTACTTAGTTTAAGCCATTTTTTTCTCCCCTCACCCCAACCTCAGATGCCTTTTTTTCATGTGAATGTCTATTGATGTTTATTATTACCTTTACATGTTGACCAGGTAAGTAGACACTAAAAGAAGTCTTTGGGGCAGCCCGGGTCCGCCGTCAGCCCAGGGCGTGATCCTGGAGACCCGGGATCGAGTCCCGCGTCGGGCTCCCTGCATGGAGCCTGCTTCTCCCTCTGCCTGTGTCTCTGCCCCTCTCTCTCTCTCTCTTTCTCTCTCTCTCTCTCTCTCTCTCTCTCTCTGTCATGACTAAATAAATAAAATCTTAAAAAAAAGTCTTTGTCTCAGGAAATAGACGTTTATTTTTATTTTTTAAACGTTTATTTTTAATTTATATCTTAAGTAAATGAATTTCTTTAACTCATGAAATACTTGAAGTGTACAGAAAGAATATGGAAAATAATATAATAAATACATTCCTTCTACCCAGTTTAGTCAAATCATAACATTTTTCTCTATTTGCTTTAGGTTGTCTCTTGTTCTGTTTTCTTTTTTAAGCATAATATTAGATGCAGTTAAAGCTTCCAGTGCACTCTTCCCTCCCTACTTCCTTTTCCCTTTTACTGCCACCCCCACAAGAGAACCATTTTCCTGTACGTATCATTCTCATGTATTTTTAATAAGTTTATTACCTATATGCTTCATAAACAATATAATGAATGATTTTATTGGTTTCTAAACTTTACATAAATGGTTTCATGCTACATGTGTTTAATTTATGTTTCTGCTGATTGATATTTAGGTATTTCTAATTTTTCGCTTACTTATCTTTATACACGTCTCCATGTGGAAATGAATGGTATTGTTGGTTTGTAGGAGGTGGATGTCTTCATCTTTACCTAAAAATCACTAAATTACCATCACACAGTGATTGAAACAGTTGACAACGCCCCACAAAGTCTGGCATAAGAGTTCCCATTTCCACACTTATAGTGAAAAAAAATTCAGTTTGCCTGTTTAATGGGTGTGAATAGTTAAGTTTTTAGTTCTTACATATAAAGACATACCTTTTCATGATGCTCTTGCCATAGTGCAGACATTTTCATTCTAACTTGCTATAAGTGACATACATCTTAAATGCTGACAGCTAATTGTAGACATCCCACAGCGAACCATGCTAACATTAATAGTCTGGCTGTCACGAATATCCTCCTGACCTATAGGGTCAATATGTAGGAGCTATGAGCTTCAAACCCAAGTAAGTTGCCCTTACTCGTAGATGCTAGCATGTGCTCCCAACTATGACACTGTTGAGGACAGTGTGGAAAGCACTACGTTTATAACAAATAACAACTTGATTTGTTATACCATTTGATTTCAATTTAGAAAAAGTTTAAATTTTATTGGCTCTATTTGCCCTGGACATTTTAATTTTACGCAGTTCTGAAAATATCAGAGAACTATTACCACAATTCTGCTGCAAGTTGGTACTGGAATTGAGTACCCAGTGTTTTTAGAGATGTCGATTTATGGTCTTACCTCCATATGTGAACAGGTCCTGAGGGGTTGAGAATTATATCCACTCTCTATATATTCAAATAATAACTAATTTTTATTTTCTTCATTTTTACAGATAAAGGAAACTAGGAAAGCATTGAGAGATTCGGATAGTGGACTAGAAAAAATGTCTGTTGGTCATCATCTTCACGACCGAGCTCATGTCATTAAAAAGTCAAAGAACAACAAGACTGGAGATGAAGAGGTCAATCAAGAGTTCATCAATATGAATGAATGTAAGTTGTCACGGAAAATAGCATTCTTCCTCTTAAAATAGCAGCTGGACTGGTAGTACTTGATGAATGTCTTTTGTGGAAACATTTTATATCATTTTGAGATAGTTTATGAATAATATGTGTAGGGACTACCTTATCCAAGTAGTAAAATTGTGGTTTCATTGTTTCTTAGTAGATTTGTTTTCTATGGCGATTTTTGAGAATGTTATTTAGTTTTTGTTTTATATTTGGAAAATGGAATCTTTTGAATTACCATTTAGTAAGACTGCCAGTAGGCAAAATGAGCTCTTAAATACTTCTGAGGCCTGTTTGAAAAGTATAGAAAAGAATAAAGAAGAAAATAAAAATCATCCATAATCCCAACCCAAAATAACTACGGTTAATGTTTTAGTGTATTTCTTCCTAATAGTTTTATATATAGAAACACATACACTTTTTTTAAATTAGTATTTTGCTGTCTAGTTTATACTGTGCTTATTTTAATTCACCACCATGATTATAACAGACACCTATGATGTTATTGTTCAAAAATATTCTAAATGGTTACCTAAAAGTTCTGTCATGAATGGGCCATAATTTAAAAAATCATTCTGGAATCCCTGGGTGGCTCAGCGGTTCAGCGCCTGCCCTTGGCCCAGGGCGTGATCCTGGGGTCCCGAGATCGAGTCCCACGTCGGGCTCCCAGCATGGAGCCTGCTTCTCCCTCTGCCTGTGTCTCTGCCTCTCTCTCTCTCTCTCTCTCTCTCTCTCTCTCTATGTCTATCATGAATAAATAAATAAAATATTTAAAAAAAAATAATAATTCTGTATTGTTGGGCACTTAACGTTTTGTATAGATAAGATTTTAATTTCTTGTTCTGTTAGATAATATATCATGTATATATCAAGTACATATTTCCATTTTCTAGATTTTATATTCATTCTTCAATGCACTTAAGTCTTTCCAGTGTCCTAACTCTTCTTATTGTAATTTTTGGGTTATATTTACCTCCCACTTTCATATATTATATTATATATAATATATATATTTTAAGTATATACGTTAATATTTTAAGTAAGTGTTTTGTTACTTTAAATTTAAATTATTTAAATGGAAATGGTTTAAATTATCTTATCATTTTAGAAAAAGAAATTCTCTTAAGATTGGATTTGAGAAAACTATTCTTACGCATTAAGAAGGAAGCTACAGGGGATCCCTGGGTGGCGCAGCGGTTTGGCGCCTGCCTTTGGCCCAGGGCGCGATCCTGGAGACTCGGGATCGAATCCCACGTCGGGCTCCCAGCGCATGGAGCCTGTTTCTCCCTCTGCCTATGTCTCTGCCTCTCTCTCTCTCTCTCTCTCTCTCTCTGTGACTATCATAGGTAAATAAAGATTAAAAAAATATTTAAAAAAAAAAAAAAAAAAAAGAAGGAAGCTACATCTTAACCTTTCTTTAATTTTAACCTTTGTAGTTTTGTCATGAATATATACAGAGTACTGCACAATAATTAACATGAAGAAAAATTTAGTGATGAAACACATTATTGTTATTATTCAAAAGTTTTATTTAAGAGAGAGAGAGAAAGAGAGGAAGAAAGCGCACTGGCCTGCCTGTGCTGGAGCAGGGGGAGAGGGAGAAGCAGGGGGAGCCCAATGCAGGGCTTAATCCCAGGGTCCCAGGATCATGACCTGATCCGAAGACAGAGGCTTAACTAACTGAGCCACCCAGGCACCCCGGAACACATTACTATTATAAAGTCCATCTGATAGAACAAATATTACCATTTACCTATTGTTATTTCATCCAAGTTAGATGGCCTATCTCATAACAACATAAATTGGCAGTTGAGGTAAGTAACCTGTCTTAGGATATTGACAACAGAAACTTACCCGTTAGGCCAAGTTCTGTAGGAGAATGGTGAGGCTAATAGGCAGTGCTAGTTACAGAAGTGCCCAAGTACAGAGGAAAAGCATGATCACCAGGAGATGCCCCGGGAAGAAAGACTGTAGGTCGTTGTAATTGGGTCAGAGGTTCATTGGGTAGGATGATACGGTATGCAGGCAGGTGCACGAAAAACCAGTTCATCAATAACAAAATTATCAGTAGGAATAAAAGAGAAACAAAAAGGGAACTATTACTCTGGATCAAAGACCTTTTATATTTGGAGCAGTCTCCTGCCTCTCTCTTGAGGTTAGGCTGATGGAAGCACAAGGCCAGAATGAAGTATGTGGGAGTCAGAGCAGCTACTGACCGTTAATACCTTAACACTTGCCCCTTTATTTTGATATTTAATATAGGTGATGCTCATGCTTTTGATAATGAGTGGCAAAATGAGATTTTGAAGTACAAACCAGTGGGACAATGGCACAACGTGGAAAACCCTAGGATGCGAAGCGTGGGTCATGAGAATTCAGGTTGCCGAGAACTTAAAAGAAGGTAAAAGTTATTTCTAAAAATGCGTTTTTTAAGAATCAGAAGAAAAGTCACGTAATTTCACCTCTGTATCAGGGAGTTTTGACTGACATCCGTTGTTTGTATCCACAGTATCTTTTGCGAAGGATGTAATAATTTCACATCGTATCTTAGCATTCCACAGAAATTTGAGTTTGTCTCTAAAAACCGTTAATATTTTAAGATTATCTGATTAGTAACCCACTGGCAAATTATGCTTCAGAAGATAGGGGCTAAAATCCTCGTAAGGAAAAATGAGATACTACAATGTACTTGTTCTTGTAAGACAGATTTTAACCTGGATGTAGAGGAATCAATCACACATTTCATGCCAGGCAAAGATACTGATATCTAGAGATACGATAAGGGGAGGGGGGCTCTATTTGAGAGGCTTAAGAAAACTTCCCTAACAAGTCAGTGGTAGATGCAGTTTTAGGTACTTATGTAATACGTGGCGTTAACTGCACCTATACTAGTGATGAAACACACTATTATTGTTATTTAAAGATTGTATTTAGGAGAAAAAAAAAAGATTTTATTTAGGAGAGAGAGAGAGGAGGGGGAGAGGTATTCGATAATATTAGATATTTTGCAAGAATTTTTCAAGAACTTTAGCCTCCATTGGGATTACCTTTGGAATAGCTGTGCTGAAACCACACCTTAAAGATTAAAGAGATTTCTGTTCATTTGGTGTATATTCTAGTATATTCTAGAGTTAGAATTTAATTTTGTTCTCTGGCGGAAAAATGGAAAACAATACCTAATTCCTTTTAAAGTTACACTTGAGAGACAGGGGGGCCTCACAGCCCTTAAAACAGAAATCTGTTCTGGGCCACAGGAGAGTGGAGGATTGGGGCAGAAGGTGGAAGGCTTCACAGAACCAGCGGGGGACAAGTGGGTATCAAGTAGATCAGACGCTGTGCACAGAACTTTATTTTAAGATACTCATTTAGGAATTTAGAGCCCTAATATTTTCTGAAGAAAATTAGCTTCCATATTACTTTTAGACCATTATTTATCTCATTTTGAAAAACCTTACGGTGCTAAGTTTGACTATGAAATGAGGTCCCTGTGAGAGAAAGCGAGCTCTTTATAGGTAATCTGTAAATCTGTGGCCTGCTACCAGGGGCATTTTCTGCAATAGAAGATTTCTGGAGTGAATTTCTGTAATAACAAAAATGCCACATATCCCTACTGTCTAATATGGCAGCCACTAGCCACGTGTGGCTGTTGAACCACACTTGAACGTGGCGGGTGCAGCTGAGGAACTGAATTTTAGAATTTATTTTGGTCAATTTAAATGTAGATGATGTGACTAGTGGCTACCATGTTGGATGGCGTGATTCAGCAGTAAAATCTAGCCCAGGAAAGTCGCTGCTGCTTTCTTAAATGTCAATGAAATAGTCTCCCATATGTTTTCAAAGCTATTATGGACGTTTTAGGTAAGACTGTCCATAAATTACAGTGTTTCTTTAAATCATGTTTGTAGGGATCCCTGGGTGGCGCAGCGGTTTGGCGCCTGCCTTTGGCCCAGGGCGCGATCCTGGAGACCTGGGATCGAATCCCACATCGGGCTCCCGGTGCATGGAGCCTGCTTCTCCCTCTGCCTGTGTCTCTGCCTCTCTCTCTCTCTGTGTGACTATCATAAATAAAAAAAATAAATAAAAAATAAAAAATTAAATCATGTTTGTATTGATTTGTCAACTACTGGGCGTTTAAAAAATGGTGTTAATGTCCGTCTTCTATTTCCCAGGGAGAAACCTCATCAAAGTCCAGCCATTGAATATGGAAGAAGATCAAACGTTTCTGTGGACAAACTCAACGTCAAAGGATCTCCTGTGAAAATCAACAGAAAATAAATAGCCTTGCATTTGATTCGTTTAGTCTTGTTTTAACAGAGAAAGTAATGGTGCTGGGTTATACCCATGAGACCAATCTCTCGCTAAGTCAGTACTGTACTTCATTCACTTTCTTCTGATATCTGAATGTTCTCGGAAGGGAGCCTGCTTTATACTGTCTGTACTTTAGGAATAAAACTTTGGTTTTCGACACTTTAAGTTGCTAAACATTTTCTTTAAAAATGCTAATTTGATTTTGCTTTCCCAATTATCTTACTCTATGGGCTATATATTCTTTTATATATTCAAGATTGAATGTAGAGCTGGCTTTATCTAATGTATTAGTTATAAGAAAGTAAAATGTAAAAAAAATAGTCTCAGTTTTCACTAACAATATCAGAGTGACGTTAATAAAGGTAAAATTACTTAAATCAAATGTTATGTGTTATGTAGCCAGCTAGCTCTAAAATCTCAAAAAAATAAAATCACACTGGTACTGTTTTATTAGAAACTAGTTATTTTGATAAATTACATTAAAATAAATAAATCTCAATTTCAGGGGAAGATTTTAAATCACTAATATATATGAGTTTTATCCTCATAACTTCTTTAAGCAGCGTGTTCCTCTTTTTGTTCTGTATTACATTCTTAACGTTCATCAGACGTTACATTGACCTTTCTCTTTAGCTTCTTAAGGTAGCATATTTCTGTTCTCCTTTCCCACAAACAGCGTAATCTGTCTTCACAGTAAACATCCTAAAGTTGGAGTGTCCTTGGAGAAACTCTGCTCAGCCTTTCTGTGACATTTAGAAAAATGCATTTGGTATTCGGTAAACCTGAATGATTGATTGTCTCAAAATTTCTCAGACAGCTGATATGTATGTTCCAGCAAGGTACTTAATAATTCAGTTCTGTTTTGTACCATTTAAAAATTCAGCTTTAGCTTTTTTATCCTAGAATTCAAACATTAATCTGTTTTTAGAAAAAGTTCGAAGTCTATGAGAATACAAAATCTTTAACCCTTAAGTTTTTGTTGTTTCAGGAGGGGAAAAGAGAACAGAAAACCCACTGTCACTCTATAATCCTAGTATCTTGCTTTTTTCACTTTGGAAATAGAACTATGTGATCGTGCTTATACTCTTCTAACTTCCCATATTCTATGCTGTTAATTTTATTAGTGTGTTTCATGCCTGTAATTAGTTACTGAAACAAGATGCATACACGTCTATTTTTATAAGAAAAATGCATGTATTAAAGATGTTAACATTTTCTTCTAATGCATACTTTAGTATACTAATAACATATTGGGAAGTTGCCATAAGGCATAAATTCTAAATGACACTTTTGCATAAATCTACTCGGTAGAGCAAAATCCCAATAGAATAGACACTGTAAATATTCTCCTTCTGCCTAAATCGTTACATAGATGATAACTTGAATCATTATGTTCAAATATGAAAACACGCCTCAATAAATAATCGTATTTAAAAGAATATAACTTCTGTGCATCATATAACAGAGCATTTATAGCTATTTTTCCTCCCAACTTATTTACCATAGAAAGTAAATAAAAATTGAATGCAAGGTAGATTCCTTCTTTTTTTTTTTTTTTTTTTTTTTGGTAGATTTCTTCTTATGCCACACTGCCTCATAAGGGGTCACTCATAAAAATATGTGACATATAGAGATCAAACGTCAGTTCTTCAGGATCACATGATGCTGAAATTACTTCTTTTCAGAATCATTTTTACCATACTGCTGAAGTCAACCATATAAGAAAGAAGTTTCTCTGTAGCCTGTAGTTCAGAGAATGGCTTTCCTTGTGGGCAACCGTTGATGCTTCTGGAACCCTGGATGTCTTGGGAATGGAAGAAGGATAGTCAACAACTTGGTGATTGTGGTTTTGACAGTAAGGGCAAGTTGCATGCTCACACTCCTTGCCACGTTAGAGATTTTCCTGGTATCTGGCCTGTCTCCGGGACAGGTTCCGTCACTTCACCTTTATGACCCCATTACCTACCCTTTACTGTCACAAGGCAAGGGCAGGGATACATGGAATCAGGATGGTCCCTAAATGTGACGATATGACGGTGGTGGTGTTTGGAGATCGTCCTCTGGGAGGTGATTAGGTCATGAGGGTGGAGCCCTCGTAATAGGCTTAGCGCCTTTGTAACAGATTTCTGTTGTTTATAAGCCACTGTATGGGTTATGGTGTCTTTCCCGCGGCAGCCTGAGGGGACCCAGGCGGTGGCCTTGGGCTGACAGGGCTATAGGAGAATTTAGAGTCTACTGAAGCGCGACCTGGACCTTCCCTGCCGCGATTTAAGATCTTCAATGTGCTGACAATATGCATACCTGGGACCTCTTAAGTCCCCTCCGTCCCCGATTACGTGGAGTTTGCGGCACATTGGCATTCTGATGATTCTGTGTCCCCGGTGTCGTGCCTGTGGCCTCTCGGGGCTTGGGGCTTCTGATCAGACTTTGGTGTTTTCTGCTGAATTTGGCTTTGAGCGCCACGTCCCGTCGCCTGTGTCCTTGCCCATCGTCTTCTCTTATTCGTGTGGGGACGTCCCCAGTCTGGCCACTCCTGCGCAGCGGGCTTCGGGCTTCGGGCTCGGGAGAGGCCTTGCATGAGCCGGGTTCCCTCGGGCCCGGGTTTCTCGGGTCGGAGTCACGTGGTTTGGGGACGGGGTGAAAGCCCAGGGCGGCCGCTTCTCCCTTAGACGGGCCACCAGGCGCCTTCGCACGGGCCTGTGCCCACAGACCCGTCCGACGTCCCGGCCTAAGACAGGGGAGCTCGGGCGGGGACCAGACGCCCGGCGGGGGCCTCAAGGACCAGCGCGACAACAGGCTCGGGAGGAGCGCGCCTGGGGTTTGTCTAAAAGGGACCACTTTGCTCGTATAAAAGACTCCCGGTGTTTTTATGTCCATATTTCAGAGCTTTTTTTTTTTTAATTTTTTTTAATTATTTATTTATGAGAGTCACACGGGGAGAGAGAGAGAGAGGCAGAGACCCAGGCAGAGGGAGAAGCAGGCTCCACGCTGGGAGCCAGACGGGGGACTCGATCCCGGGACTCCAGGATCGCACCCTGGGCCAAAGGCAGGCGCCAAACCGCTGCGCCACCCAGGGATCCCCTATTTCAGAGCTTTTGAGAATTTTTTTCAAGTCGGCTCCGCGCCCAGTGTGAGGCCAGCGCAGGCCTTGACCTCCTGACCCTGAGGTCAGGACCCGGGTTGGCACCCAGAGTTGGGCCCTTAACCCACTGGGGCCCGGGTGCCGAGTTCTGAGCGGTCTCACGGGCCGTCACCGTGACCGGGTCCTCCGGCCCGAGCGGGGAAGGTGATCGGCCTTGGCGGGGAGCCCCGGCCAGGGCGGCCCTGACGCGCGAGCAGCCCGGGCAGGCGAAGCAACAAGCCTGCGCGCCTCGAGCTCAAGCAAGCAAAACCCAAACCCGGCGGCCCCCGCGGCGCCTCGAAGCTGCGCCAATCCCCGAATTTCCCGCTTTGTTTCTGCCTCTTCCGTGAGTCTCCCTCAGCTCTGGCGGCTGGAGACCTCCCGCCCGCCTCCGACCAGGCCGCTGCCTCATTGGGAGCCACTTTTCCTCAAACTCAAAATGTTTTCTTTAAAGATTTTATTTTTTTCCAATCATCTCCACACCCAATGTGGGGCTCAAACCCACAACCCCAAGATCAAGAGTCTTGATCAGGGCGCCAGGCGCCCCGGAAACTCAAAATTTCTGATACAGCATCTAGGTCACTGTGTTTCCTGTTCTTCTCTATTTTTTCCTCCCACTTGAAATTTTTAAAGGTTTTATTTATTTGAGAGAGGGACACGTGAGCAGGGGGAGGAACCAGAGGGACAGGGACAAGCCGACTGACTCCGGCTGAGCACACTCGGGGTTATCCCAGGACCCTGAGATCATGACCCACACTTGCTCTGCTCAACCGCTGAGCCACCCACGCGTGGTGTGTACGTAGATGTGACTGTTTTCTTAACTCGTCTGTAAAAATTTTCAAGTGTGGGGTGCCTGGGTGGCTCAGCTGGTGGGCTCAGGTCATGATGTCGGGGTCATGAGGTCGAGCCTGCCTGGGGCTCTGAGCTGGGCCCAGAACCTGCTTGAGATGCTCTCTCTCCCTCTGCCCCGTGCCCCCAGCAAGGTCACTCTCTCGAAAAACAAAAGCCTTAACAGAGATCGTCTATGATATTTACTCATAAATATCTAGCTAGATAGTTCTTGGTTTTCTGTCTTCCAGTTCTCTCTCTCTTTTTTTTTTTTTTTAAAGATTTTTATCCATGAGAAACACACAGAGAGAGGCAGAGACACAAGCAGAGGGAGAAGCAGGCTCCCTGCATGGAGCCTGGTGCAGGACTCGATCTCAGGACCCCGGGGTCACAGCCTGAGCTGAAGGCCGAAGCTCAACCGCTGAGCCACCCAGGCGTCCCCCAATTTTCTCTTTGGAGTAAAGAAAAGTTGATTACTTTGGTTAAGAATGGTTAATAAAGGGATCCCTGGGTGGCGCAGCGGTTTGGCGCCTGCCTTTGGCCCAGGGCGCGATCCTGGAGACCCGGGATCGAATCCCACGTCGGGCTCCCGGTGCATGGAGCCTGCTTCTCCCTCTGCCTGTGTCTCTGCCTCTCTCTCTCACTGTGTGACTATCATAAATAAATAAAAATTAAAAAAAAAAAGAGTCACAAAAAGAATGGTTAATAAAGATAAGAACATATTTAATATAGTAATTGCAGAAAAGTATGAATATACATACACACTAGATAATGAGCATGAATTTTTACCTAAGACAACTATTAGTTTGTTAAAGTGGTGATTTTAGTAGTAGATATGCTTTTTTTTGGGGGGGGGTGTTTTTTGTTTTTTATAAATTAATTTTTATTGGTGTTCAATTTACCAACATACGAATAACACCCAGAGATATGCTTTTTTTAACCTAATTATATCTTAAAACCCAAGGAAACTTAATCCCATTATCATTTGCATAATTATGTATTTATATATTTTAAACAAATACACATAAAGACTTAAAAAGATAATTTTTGGAAAGTCCACAAGCCAAAAAGCTTCCTGGGCATATTCAACATTAATGGATTTATTCTTCAAATCACGTTACAAATCCTTTATTGTGAAAAAAGGGTGATCTGCAAAAAGTACATTTGAAATCCATCCCTGAGACCTTGATCTTCCTTTTCTGACATCCCTGGTCAC